AATTAACATGGGGAGACATGCAAGCTGCCACCCAGCCACAAATACACACCCACGAGCATGCACACACACACGCACGCATGCACAAGGCAACCCTTGTCTAGGGGGGACATTCAAAAGGCTTTGTCACTAATTTAGGCATCTGTCTCAGTCTGGTCTGGTCCTCCTGGCTAGGCTGGAGTTGTGGTTTTTTTCCCACTCTGTTTGACAATGCTGGGAACATGCCCGGAGACCCCTCATTCAAATCACCCCTTGACAATGGTCTCATTGTGTGAGCATATAGAAAAGGGAAAGGATGGGGGAGAAGATGTGGAAGGGGGGGTAAGGAATTAAAATGTGAACCCAAGGAAGTGTTTACTAACACAAGCCTCGCAGCTGCCCCGTCTCTCCTCCACCCCCTTCTTCCGCCCCCGGCCGTTCCAATGGCCCAGCCTGTCCCCAGTTCGAGGCGGGCAGCAGGATGTCGGGACAGCGGAGTGGCTCCACGGAGGTGCCCAGAGAGCAGGCAGAGTGAAGGGATGAAGCCTCAGGGCATTCAAGTCTTTGGCAGCAGGGGGGCAGGTACAGGTTAGAAAAGAGAAGATAGAGCCAGAGATGCCTCGGAGAGGATTAGGGACTTAAAATGTCCTGGGAAGGACATCTTCATGGAGGAGCAAGAGATTTATTGGTATAACCACTCCAAGGCTTTTTCCAGCAGGAACAAAAAGTGCTTAAACCTGGCCTCGTGGATTTAGAGCTAGTGAGCAGCCTTGCTGCACGGTTTGGACTGCTCTCTTTGGTGCTGCAGCCAGACAGACACACCACAGCACGAGAAGAAAGGGGGGAGCAGCAGGGTGTTGGAGCTGGGGGCTCAGAGGATGGACCAGACTCCCTTCAGGACCCCTACTGCTAGTTATTAAATACCAGGAGAAAAAAAAAAAAATAGGGAAAAATGCCCCGATGCCCTGGCCACCCCCAGGCACGCCTGGGGAAGGAAATAGTGAAGGTGCAGATGGGGGACGTTCCCCCAGCCCCACCGCGCTTGGCTGGCCTTGGCAGGCTCCGTTCAGCTGGAAATGCCCAAGAGCCAGCAGAGCAAAGGCAACGGGAGCTGGGGAGGGGGAGAAGACGATGACAACGTTTTCCATATATGCAAATGCATCCATACAAGATACCCAGAGGGAGACAAAACAAAGAGACCTCAAAGAGGCTGGCTCTGAGACCCGCACAAAGCCAGATACCTCCGCACACCTACGGTGTTTGCACGTGAGGACCTGTGCAATGCAAGATGCAGTGTTGCCCAGAGGTTCCCCCCAAATGTGAGCAGATATCAGCCTAAAGAAAGCCTGGTGGAGGAGCCCAGTGAAAGCTGCAAAGACAAATGCCACAATCCCACATCCTCCTACACAAACAGGTGCACCTTAGGAGTACAAAACTATTCCCGTCCTTTAGCTTAGTCAGAGAAGAGAAAAGCTGTGATGCAAACCCACATGAGCCCTGCCTTGGTGGGCAGAGGTAGCTCAGCTCCCCCAACATTGCTCCCGCAGTCAGATCCACCCCCTAGACCTTTGTGTGATTTCCATAAGAGGAAAGCTAGGAAATTCCTGGACATTACTAAACAAGGCTGGCCAAAATGTCACACAGAAACCCAAGAATGTACACGAGGCAAAACCAAAAGTCACCTGTGCAAACATTTCTGCTTAAAAAAGGGAAAGTACTGCAAGGTAAGCAAATCTGTGCTTTTTATCCAAACAAGTGGTTGTGAGCAGTTTTATTGCCACATTCCTGTGCCCCAATACACAGGGATAAGTACTCGACACAGAGTGACACGCAGGGACTCGGGGACAGAGCTGTTGTTTTAATAGGGCAATGAAGACAGCGAATGAAATAAAACCCTACAGAGATCAGCTTGCAGAACTCAAGGCTGAGAAAATCTATTTGATGGTAAAAGGAAACAAGGACACTCATGATTCTGCTCTCATTTCCATGCTGTAAATTTGGGCAGCTTTTACTGAATGCAATTAAACCCTCGCTTAGGATTTCACCTGGCGAAGCTGAGGGCAGACCTTGCTACAAAGACCCACCTCTGAGCTCTTCCCCTCAACTTGCTCTGCAGAGGCCAGCAGGAGCTGTGAGAAAACTGAGTGAAAAAGCAAGGGAATTCATAGATCCCTGCCAGTGTGGCCATTTCAAAGCCCCCTTCAGCTCTGTCTTGCCTGTTCTCTGCTTCCCCACTGATTTGCTGCTTTGCTCATGGAGCTTTGGCTGCAGGGAACAGTCAGCACCAGCATGGCAAGCACAGAGACTCAATGGTATTTGGGCATCTCCTTCCCTTCAGTTCCTCTAATGGGAACTGAAAACCTCAGCAAACCCCCAAAACATCCATTCCCTGCCTCTGGTGGCTGATCCTTCCTTTCCAAAACTATTAGGGTTCCGCTGGGCATCCCTTGCAAGAAACACTGCAAGACCCTCTGTTATCAACACCTCTTTGAGTATTCTTTACATTTCCCTTTATTTCAAGACAGGGCATTTCAAAGGCTTTTGCCCAACAGCACAGTTTAACACACTGAGTTTCCCAAGCAACAAGTAATACAACTCCTCACCTACTTGTACCACACAGGTAAAGTCCCCTCAGGGCTGTGATCTTAAATCCATACATGCTTTTCCCCATGGACGTTGAGAGCTGTAAATCTCAACATTTCATTAAACAGATCACTCAGAACAGATTGCCTCACAACATAACTTCTCGGCTGGCCACTACCCACGAGCAGATGATTTTACATGACATTTATTCATGCAAATTGCCGAGGCTGTAGTCTAGTTACCCAGCAAGAGCATAAAAAATTACAGTTTAGATGCATAAATGCTGGCACCATGAGAGAAGACACGATGAGACTGGAAACACATCCCTGGGTTTCACATACAGTGCAACAAAACTTAGAGAGTCCTCATCAAATGGGGATTTATCAGGAATGACCCCCCCAAAATAATCCAGGGGAGGCAGAGAAAGGCATGTGCAAGGCTGCAAGGGCTACAGAGAAATGAACTTCTCCTGCTGCATGTGCAGAAACCTGCCATGGGGAGAGCACACGCAACATTTTACGTCACTCACAAAGCCTACTCTGTCCAATAAAGTGGGGAAGTAAAACAAAGCATGAAATCCAGGCATAAATTAGCATCCCTCTAGCCTAGCTTTATTTGTGCTGCTGCTGCTGTGGATTAGCATCTAGCTGGCTGACAGGCTGATAGGCAGACAGAAACAGGGAGAAATAAAAAAAAAAAAAAAAAAAAAAAAAAAAAAAAAAATCAGTGGGTGTCTTTTTTTCTCTATGGTTCCTGGGATGTCTGCCTTCAAAGTGCAGGCAGTGTTCATCCCTTTAGGACCCAAATTTTTCCATCTTCCTGTGAGAGCAGTAGGCTCTGTAGGAAAGCAAATCCCCCTGAGATATTTGTGCCTGCACCCTGTGGAGCCGGCACCCGTCATCCAATGCAAGCCCAGTGCGAACCTGTCACATCCTCAGCCAGCAAATCCCCCCGGCATCCATCCACAGCTCCACTCTGCAGAGCCACAGGAGCAGCGATGGTGTGGGGCTGGGAGACCTTGAGGGTAGCACCTTGCCACGGGCACACACAGGGAGCAGATGCCCCGGGATTAGCTCTGGATCATGTTCACCATCGCTCGGGGCAGCTGCTTCCTTCACTGCTTGCAGCCACGGCTGGGTTTGGTACCTGATCCCAGATGACATGACCGGGATCTCACGCCGGCATCTCCTCTCAGTTTGTGTCAGAAATGTGTCACTGCCTGCTCCTCGGGCAGGAGGACCTGCAGAGAGCTTCCATCGGGCTGACACACAGCCTCCCTCTCCTCAGGGCTGCATGGCAAAATGAGTGGTCGTCACCAGAGACATCCCTCCTCTCAGGGCTTGGTGGCCTCGTGCCCACCCGCCCTTTCCAAGCACAGCCATGGAAACATAGCACTAAAGAGGTGCCAGTCTTGACAGCCACCACTCCAGTCCCTCCCAAACCAGCCCTGGCAAAGGAGCCTTTCTGCCCTAGCAACTTCAGGCAGCAGAGAGGAGCTGGGAAGCTCCTCAGTGTGGCCCTTGTGCACAAACTGGGGGAACAACAGCAGTAAACTTGACTGTGGTAAAAGCAAAGCCCATTTCCACCCTCACTGAGCCATTCAGAGTTTGACTGGGCTCTCAGGTCGCAGGAGATTTCTAGTCCTTGCCTGTCTTTTAAGGAGCCAAACACAGAGCTCAGTTTTTAGGCTATGGAAATCAAATTTTCAGCTGCTTTTCAAAGGCGGCCTAGAAAACACAGACTAATTCTGCACAGCCATAAAGCAAGTCCCTCAGGAGTACAGCATGCAGCTCAAACACCCCCATGTCCCTCTGCCTGCCACCATGACTCCAACTGAGTGGGTCTGATCAGGAGATGGAAGTGTGAAAACTCCCCAAGATGTAGAGAATCCCTCCTTGGCAGAGCCCTTGCAGCTCTCAGCCCCTCAGTCAAGTGCACTGGCCCTGCTGATCACTGGTGCCACAATCCCAGTAGATTGGCATTGTCTTTGGGGCATGGAACAGGCAAAACCTTTCTTGCAGCAGGCATCTGTGGCCAGTTCTGCTTGCTCCATGCCCAAATGGATCAACACAGGCAGGTTTTTCCCAAAGGAGGCAGAAGGGCACTCTGCAGAGCTTCGAGACAGCTGCAGCTGGAAATAGCCCAAGCAGAAGAGATGCATCCCTGTCCCTCCAGCCACGCCTTCCCTGGAGTGCTTGATCCAAGTCTGGAATAAAGCACACCACCACCATCCTCATCCCACTGCACACAGCAAGACAGTCCCCTCCACATCCCTGCAGCCACAGAGGTATCTATGGAAACATCCCATGGCATCAGTAGGGAGGTTTCTTTTAGGGGCTAGGAAGGAAAGGAAGAAGGAAGAGAGTGTAGAAACCGGAGCCTTTGTTTCCCAGCACTCAGCCATGCTGTTAATTAGGTAGCAGAGACCAGCCATTTCCTACCACATCCTCAAGCTCTTGCAGCAACAGCAGGCACTCCTTTAGTCTCTGTCCTTTGGGGATGAGAAGCAGGCAAGGAGACAGAAGTCAGTCAGAGCCTACAGAAATGCAACAAGCTGCAGGAAGGATCTTTCCTTTGCAAGGGAACAGGAACCTGATGGGCTCCCCAGCCAGCACTTATCTATGTGAGCCATTTGTTTCCTCCCCAAGCTCTCAGCTTGCTCTGACACATCACCCATTCCCCTGATTGCAAGCAAAATGAGTCAGATGGGTCCCAGCCTTGCACCCACTCAGAAGCCCTCTATTTCTACCCTGCTCCTCAGTGCCACGCCATCAGGAAGCTCAGCCTGGGCACCATGCAGGACCACAACTGCCTTAAGAGCTTGGTACAGGTCCAGACTCACACATGCAGTTTGCCCTTCATTCTGGGGAGCTCCAATACACTTCTGCATGAGCTGCATTAAAACTCACACTGGCAACAGCACATTCAGACAAACAGCCACTGGGACCAGGGCAATACCTATGAAATGTATCACAAATGGACTCAAGGAGCACATTCCCTTGAGTCACTGGTCCAAGTGGCAGCTTGGGACATATCTGCAGCAGCCTGGGGAGATCCTGCACAGTACCACGAGGACACCACAGAGACAGCATCTCCTCCTCTGACTCTTAAGCAGAGTCTTCCACAGCGCTGCACACAGTACATGACCTCTCAGTTAAAGCAAGGACCAAATAAATTTTAAAAAGCTTTCTTTTTTTTCTGAGTCCTGACAGCGTGGAAGTCAAACACTGTTTTTCAAGCTGTTCCCAGAATGAGACTGAGCCACATGTATCCACAGGCACAGCCAATCTGCATCTGTACAGCCTTGTTCCCACCACCTTCATTAGCACATACAGAGATGTACATCCCTCTCTTGTAGAATAGGGTGCCAGGGACCAACATCATCAATTATTACCTTCTGGACCACAGCCCTCTGTGCCCAGGGCCACACAACAGTGGCTGGGACCACTCCTGAGAGTTCTTGGTATGTCTAGGGGCTTAAATGAGACCCAAGCCGGCTGCTATCCAACCCAGTGTGATCCATGACACTTTGAGTTGTCAGTCTCTCTTTTCCTCTCTGTTCGAGTGTTACGCAGCATCCTGCACTGTCAGCCTCGAGCTTTGAGTCTTGATCCCCAAAATTGCTAAGATTCATTCCAAAAACCAACTAATTGGAGGAGTTTTCTTCAGACTGATAATGCCTAAGCGCTACAAGGTCTTTGACTTGTTTCCAGAGTTTTCCCTGCAATTAAGCTGTCCCTAAATACATTTCTTGTTAGCATAATTCTATTAATTTTAAGTGAGAACTGAGACTTTTAAACAGTCCTTGATTACAGTTGCTGGAGCTTTGCAACAGACACCCCAAATCCCAAGGTTTGCTCTAAAACCCTTGTGAATTATTCTAGTCCAGCCTTGCCAGCTGCTCTTCTACCCGAAAGGCACCTTCCCTTGAGAGCAGGATAGTAGAAGAAGGGAAGAAAGCTGGAAAACAGCCATTTCTGGGACTACAAATGAAATCAGGAGGAACAGTCCCAAAAGCCTCTCTTAGCCTTGGCCACCAGCAGCAGCTACTCGTGAAGCTCCCACCAAGTGAGAGCCAAAGGAAGAGACACATTGATCCTTCCTTGCTGGATTTTATGCCAGGCTTGTCAGCAAGGCACGCTCAGTTTTGGCTGCCCAGAAAATGCAAACCTCTCCTTTGTGTGGCTTTCTGGACACCTCCCGCTGCCCTCCCTAAATCCCAAAACCAGCAGCATCCCTTGCAAGGTGCACACCATGCCAGAGGCAGCAAAGACGTGCTCCTTGCAAGCCTCCTGGCCCCAGGCCTTCTGCCAACACCATCCCAACATGGGGCACGCAGGCAAAAGAGCTGCCAGAGGAATCCACACCGAGCGGCGCTGAGCACGACCTTTCTGCTTTACAATGGTAACCTGAATCCTAAATACTGGATTTCTAGGCACGCATTAAAGCCATGAGACAATGGAGACGGCGAGGCTGGGGCTGGCTGCAAGCCAGCTCCATGCCGGCCCCGCCAGCGCCCGATGTTTCCCATTTCCCTCTTTTTTCACCATGGCAGATAAGCTAAGTCCCCCTAAGCCAGGAGGCAGGTGCATGCAGAGCTCACCCCTGACTTGGGGACTGTGTGCGACTCACCCCCCATAGAAGGTGGATGCCCAAGAAGACCCAGAAAGGTGGTTGCCTTCCTCTCTCCCTCTCTCTCTCATATGAGCATTGCTTCTCCTTTAATTGGTTTCATTCATGGCGGCCCTTTGCTAAATGTAATTATGCCAGGCTCTCTCCATCTGTCTGCGTTCAGGAAGAGACATCGCTCTCACTGTTTTTATCTTCAATCTTTATTTCTGCATTAATCCCTGCTCTGCAGCTCACATGTACAACAATGTCCAGGACCTCCTGAGGACATACAGACACATAATGAAGAGCAGGATTTGTCCCTGGGTCTCTCCTGGCTGGAGGACATTTTTTCACAGGGAAAGCCCCATACCTCAGTCACTCTGTAACATCTACATCTCTCAATGATACCTCCACAAGCCAGACCTTTTGCAGACACTCAAGAGTTGTCTGTGAGCCCAGGCAAGTGGAGACGGTTTGATTTTGTCTGCATCACAGAGATGTCTCTGCCCTGTCTTCCCAAGCCCGGTACATAAAGATAGCAAGATGTCTGCTTAGGTTGACATGGACCGCTTTTCACATGGAGACAGCATCCAGTCCCATACTACCACACTCATTTTCCTTTCCAGGAATGCAGACAGGGTGAACACAGCTGAGCACAGGGATTAACAAACCTCAGCTCTGCAAGGGCAGCTCATAGCTGCATAGCTGAGGCTGCAAAGCGCCCAACACACCCAGAAGGGTTTCATCCCTGGGGATTCATTACCCAAGGTCCTTACACCTTCCTCAGCCAGGGTAGGTAGATCTTGGGGGAAAACACAATGCTAAAAGAGCTGTTGGTTTATCGAGAGACCCAACCCAGTGACACAGACCCTGGGCAACCAAGCACCATCTGGTGACCGCCGGCTCCCGACACAATAGCCCACGTTGGCATGTTTATGATAGAGACCAGAGGCGGATTCCCATTATCCCCATCAGATCCTGTGATGTGGTTTCAGGAGAAGGACCATGAGAAGCAGATGGGATGGCAGAAGAGAAAAGAACGCAATGAGACAGACAGACAGGAGAGATTTACATGAAGCTAAAGCGCATACCCATAAACATGGGATAAGTAAATAGCATGTAAGTATGAAATTAAATGCAGGGAATCCATGGCATCCAGTAATCAGTCAAATATCTCCTTCACCTCTTTTTCAGTTTATCATCGGCATTTTAAAATGAGATATTTATGCCAATAAGTAAGCCAGTTGTATATTGTAACCCTGCAAATATTGGCTTGGATCTGAGAGATTCGTCCCGACAGACAATTCATTTTTACAGTTATTTTTGGACTCCCGGCTTTCGTGGAACACCGGCTCTCTGTGTTGGATTTTATGCCCCTGAAATGTATTTACAATGCATGGCATCTGTATTGTGCATTACACACTTAAATCATTGAATTTCATTCATCGCTTGTAAAAAAAAATATTGCAATATCCTGAAGCTCTGAATACTCAAATTCAAAATATAACTGCTGCATTTTCAGAGTAATGCTATAAAATAATGTTGTATTTTTAGATAAAGAAGGGAAAATTGATCATGAGGAACATGGATTCCCAAGATCTGGGAAGAAGGGGAGTTTGGATTTCACACCACGATAAATGGGTAAAAAAAATAAAACTAAAAGCTGAAAAACCCACAAAGGTTTATTTTCTAAACAAGAACATAGAAACATTTTGTCACTTAAACAAAGGGAGGAGGGTGGGGGAGGCTCCGCATCCTTGGCTTGCTCTCTGCAATGGACAAATACTATCAGAAACAAAAAGCATGGCATAGTTACCAGGAGCTCAGCGCTTTACAATTAATGGTACATATTTAAGTTCCTTTTAGGGGAAACCTTCTGCAATTGGGGGTAAAAAAATTTCTTGGTTTTAAAGCCTTCTGTCATTGTTGCCCACAAGCAGAAGAGAAAGGCGCTTTCTTTGTCATCCGGGGGTTTATGGCAACACCTTAATATGTCCTTTTCATAGGTGAAGCAAGGCACACAAAGCAGCCGCGTGCCAATGCGTCCCCCCCGCCACCAGCAAAATAAATAAATGGAGGAACGCGGGGACGGCGGCCGTCGTAATCCCTCGGCAAAGAGGCAGCGAGGATGGTCTGGCGGGGTAAATATCGCACGTCTCCTGCCAAACCCCGCGTGGGCTATTGTCCCGCCACCCCTTTTAGATGTCATTAAGGATTTTTCGCATACAACCAAACGAGCGGAGGGGATGAACGCGCTCGCCTCTTCCCCACCAGTTGGAGAAGCCATGACGAGGCGGCTGGGAGCCGGCGCAGGAAAAACACAGGGCAAATTAGGAAGTATGTTAATTCAGTTAATATCACAGAGGGGCTGGCGGGCGGTGGGGGGGAGGTGTGTGCGCAGATTTTCCGCCCGAGGAAGGAGGTGGCAGAGAAAGAACTGGGGCATGCCAGCTCCCGTTATTGTTCTGCCTTCATCGGTAATTAGCAAGATAAGGAGGGGACGGCGTGAGGGAGGCAGCGTGGCGAGGACAAGGCAGCGCTGCACCCCACCTCATGCCCATGCGGCCATCTTACAGGCGGCGCTCGCCTCCCGCAAAATGGCCGCCGGGGCCCACACTGCCTCAGGCCCGCAGCTGGCCCATCCCAGCGGGCTCCCCTCCACCAGCCCCGAGGCAGTGGGCACCCAGGAGCAGTGGCAGCGAGTAAAGGGGGCCCCAGGAGAAAAGGAGTTGCCATGGTGGACCAGAGTGCGCTGGCGAGCGGCCATCTTAACCCGGGCCCTTCTCACGGCGCCAAGGCGCTGGGCGCGTGGCACTCACACAGCTCTCTCCCCAGCCCTCCTGGCTGGAACAATCTTGGTACACTTCTCCTTCACCAGGCAGCACACACTGCT